AATTTGACGCAACATTGTAAAATGATTATAAATCAATAAAAAATGTTAAAAAAATTTTATGAGATCATCTTTTATAAGCTTAGTCTTTTGTTGAGAGGTACTGGCACAGCTAAATAAAATTACCATTTTTCTATTGAACTCCCATAAATCATTAAGATTCTCATGGACAATAACCTTTATAAAGCTTATATAAGTAATAAAAATACAAGAGAAGAGTAAGCATTTACTTAGGTCGTGCAAACAATAGATAATAAATGATTTTTTTTTAAAGGAAATGCATTTTTAGATCCAAATATATCATCTTAAGATTAGACGGTGGCAATACTGAACAAAGTCACAAATTATTGATGTTGAAAAACTTTCTATTTAAAAGGAAAAACAGAGAAGTAGACAAATGAATTGCATGTAGGCATGCTATTCTTTTAGATTAAAAGATTACAATAAAGATGTGAATCTTCCCAAAGTAATTTATAGTTTTAATGCAATTCCAATCCAAATTACGTCGTATTATGATAGTTTTAAAAATTGACCTGGAAGAATGAATTAGAGACAATGGCCAAGATAATTTTGTAAAAAAGTAAAGAAGGAAGGCTTTCTCTCCTGGGTACCAACATGGTCTAAACAACATACAATTATCAAAAGAGTGCTGTACTGGCATTGGGTGAGAAAAGCAAATCTAGAATTGCATCCTGGTGAAAATGATGCCACCTATAAAAAAAGGGTAGCATTGAAAGCAGTGAAAGTATTATTAATAAATAATAGGAAGACAGTTGGTTAACTATTTGGAAAAAATGTTGGGTCTTCACCTTGCACTTCTCACTAAAATAAGTTCCATAGATTAAAGAGTTAAAAATTAAATAAAATATAAGCTCACTGTCTGTCGTCTTCCCCGTTCAGTCTCCCTTCACAGTCTTATCACTATTTGACATGTATTTATTTGCTTATCGACTTTTCTCTCTTCACTAGACTGTAATTTCAACAAAAGCCAATGCTATCTCGTTCTATTGATTTAGCCCCAGGACCTAGAATAATCCGACACACAGGAGGCATTTAATACATATTTGTTGAATGAATGAGTGAAAGCAATGGAAGGAGCACAAGGGGAAAGAAAAACCCTTTTAAAGTAAATGTATGTAACCTTGTAGTGATAATCAGGCACAAAGAGCCAAAAAACCAACGGGGAATCATCTTTGCCCATTTCGTCATTCTCAGCAAGGCCAGCTCGCTCTGGGGCACTGCGCCCGGTCATGATGCGAGGCACATCTGTCCCTCTTCCTCTGTATTTCAAAGTTGTTGACTTTTACAAAACCAACGGGGGTTCGGAAGCGTTAACAAACTAAAACTCAGAGGCTTAATTCAGAGTAAAATCTTAGCTTAATTTGGAACCCATGAATCTGCAGTGTAATTTTGAAGAAGGGAACTAAATAGATGACTATTAAGTGCTCTGCTTTGGACAATGAAAAAAATACGTGATGAATACTTGACCCATCAACATTATTGCTGCTTTCAAGATCCACAGAGATCAATTTTTACTACTTTAAAAAACATTTTTTAAATAGGCTGAATGAGATTCATTGGAGAGAAGTCGAGGAGAAACATAGTTTATTTAGGCATTTTCCCACAAGGAGCATTCACAAGCTTTATTTCACTGTTACACTCTCGTCCCCATGCCATTCTCTCCCACACCAAATGAGCCATGTCCACTGTAGCCTCCTTCTCCCATTAGAATGATGCTACATTTCCTGATGGGAGAGCATCAAGTTGTACCGACTCCCTCTTGTCTCTGGTTTAACCTGACTTCCTCATCTCTGCACTGAAATCCCGTAGGATTCTAAGCACAGATGATGTGCAACACACAACCGTCTGCTTACAGGGCTTCTTTGACAAAGCGCTTCCAAAACAGCTGCAAGATGCTTTAAAAATATGGCAACAGAAAATGTCATTCTCTCTTTCGGGTCATAAACTTTGACTTGAGAGGAGGATGGAACAAAATTTGACCTACCGAGGGTGGGATCATATTCCCAGATGAAGCGTTTGGTCAGAAATCTCACTACAAGAGCTGTGGAAAAAAAGAGCAACATTTCAATCAAATCTGTTAATTTTCTCAGCGTTCTTACCCCTGTAAGGAAAGAGAAATAGCCGTACAACTACATGTGTTTTATAGTTCTTTGCCGTATAAATCTAATAGATTTATTTATGTTTATTCAAGTACTTTTAAAATTCCATATTGTGGCCTAAAAATTGGTGTAACGTTTTAATGGTTTACTGAGCATTCATGAACAGTTTAGATTTATTCCTTTAGTCACAGGGTTGAAAATATTGCAATGTGAAAATGCTCACATATACAATTTTTAGCAAAACAATGCATTCAGCCATAAAGCATCACAACATGGGTGTCTAAAGTTTGAATACTGATAATGATTGAGAAAGGCGAGTTAAAATGTAACCATTTTGACTGTAATGAAAAGATATTTGTATTTTAAAAATGCTCAAAATTAGGGGTTTTATTAGTGATTCATTAAAGCCCTTCAAAAGTAAGGCTGATGAAGCATTTACAGTCAAGATCAAGATCCGGAACGATGCTAAGCACTTCACTTGCGTGGCCTCCTTGACCCCCACTTCATCCCTACAAAGCACTTGCTAGGATTGACCCCATTTCTCAGATCAGGAAACCGAGGCTCTGAGACGTTAACTCATTTAACTGAGCTTACCTAGTTAGTTGGTGCCTGAGTCAGGAATTGAATCCAGGAAGGCTGTTTCCAGAGCCTGTAATTTATCCATTGTCCAAGCTAAATTTAAAGCCTACGCCATCTGGATAATATTTAGCTAGAAGATGAGTTAGAGAAAGAGCAGCGTTGAGACAGGTGGATTCTGTTACCCTCAGAACTGATGGGATGCATGCTGAATATTTTCTTATGTTTGTCTTATAACTGAAAACAATGGTTTTTAATCTTTTGAAAATATTTTTTGGAGGAGAGTATCACAGATACTTTAAAAACAGAATGAAATCTTGGGACCCTTTCCCTGGAAAAATGTATACACATTATAGTTTAGCATGTAACTTCACCAGGGTCACCAGCCCTCTGAAGACCCTCCACGGTCTCCCTGGGATGCCACCGACCCTAACTGAAGAATCAACGTCTACTGTATTTTATCATTTAAAAATATCCGTTATGGTAGATTGATTTTTACTGAAATGCCCTGTAGGTGGCTGTCGAAAGATACGCCCTGAAGAAACAGCACTAGTTACTTGGAGGTTACTGCCCGTCTCTCCTTTGCCTATTACCTCTGTTAAGATCAACGTATATACCCCCCACTGCAGTGGCTTGTATGAGAGATCACAGCGCAAATTGCAATGAAAACCTCATAAAACAGACCACAAGTATACGTGGCTTGGCTGGAGGCTGAAAGTGGAGATGTTCTTTTCTAATTACAGAGTGTGAGGCTGGATTTGAGCCAAAATACTTGCAGTGCCTAAAGCAGCAAGGCCACTGACCCGATAATCCTTCCCACAGTGGGCGTACTTGTGGTTTTATCGTCAACTTTCAGAGTCTGTCACTGTCCGCTCTCTTGAGACTCTTTTTCTTCTTTTCTTGCATGTAAGAAGGAGTAAAGCACTGGACAGATATTTTTCTGTTTTTAAATTAACTGTGTTACTAAACGTAACTGCCTGCAGGATACAAATAGTTTCCTCTTTTGTTAGAACATGGAGCGTTAACTTTAAAGTTTATGACCTAGAAAAATTCATTTATCTGGCATCTTTCAGCCATGAGCTATCAAAATTAACATTTTTTTTACACAACTGAAGTACCCCAGTTCCAAGACCCATTAAACGTTCATCATTTCTCAAAGAAATCTTTCTAAAATGTTTTAGACACGCCATTGCCTTTTAAAACCAAGTAGACTGAACATAACTAAATCATTTGTAAATGTCTGGATCTTAGCTAAGAAGCTTGATCAGTGCCCAGTGTAGTTAGTTGGCAATACTCAATACTTTTAGAAGCTCCAGAGTGGCTGAGGCAAAAAAAAAAAAAAAACAACTCTAGAGTGTTAGGGCCTTTGAGCATTTTTAGTTTTTTGATTGCATATCTGTATCTTTTTCATATACAAAATATATAATTTTTTCCTCCCTCAAATACTATGGCTTTCTCTTTTTTGTCTCAGTTTCCGAGGCTATCTTAATAACCTATTTGTAAATCTATCTTGTTACTTTGATTATTCCAAAGACTGATAAGTCTTATTAACAAGCGTGTTAGAATTTTGTCTACTATTGGAGTGAATCAGTTCTGGAGTTTGGTTCTAAAGAACTTGTTCTACTAATGCACAATGATTCTGGTGCCCCTTTGAGATACTATTTTGTGGTAGATAAGTTGTTCCTGCTGCTTCTGGGTTACTGGCTCAGTTTCAGATCGCCACCCCCTTCCAACAGGCGGTGCTGCTGGGCTTAGCCAAAGAAATCAGTCTACACATTTCTGATATTCTTTTTTAAGGGACCCACATCATTATGTAATGGTTATTTTAACAATGGGATCATACCCTTTTAAAAAATCCAATCTATGTAGCAAAAAAAAAAAAATCAATAATCACTTTGAAAATTTGATGTCCTATGTTCATTCTTTGAAAACGTGTTTTCATCTGTCTCTCACAAAGGTTATTCATGAAAAAGACAAAGGCATTTGAAATATTTTAAAGTTTTCAATAGTAGTATAATTTAAAATGGCCAGTCTAAAGAATGAAAATAATTTTACAGCTGTGGAAATAATATCTGCTAAAGGCTCTACTGTTATTTATCCATTTATAAATTTTGTTTTGTTTTGCTTTTTTGGAGGGAGAGAAGGTAATCAGGGTTGTTTGTTTGTTTATTTATTTTTATTGAAGGTGCTGGGGACTGAACCCAGGACCTCGTGCATGCTAAGCATGTGATTTACCACTGAGCTATATACCACCCCCCACTGTTATTTAAATTGTCTGAGATGCTTAGGTGACATTTACCATTTACTCATGTAGTTATAAAACTTCACCAGTATTATTTAACCCCAAATTTTATTACACTTTAATTATGAAGTATGATTTTCCTATGGGATATATTTACCATATCTCACCCCCTCCACCACTACAACTCTCATCACACGATTTCACCTCATAACAATGATACACTTGCTTCCTCAGTGGTGTCCCTACTGTAACGGCATCCCCTCCCCCAGAGCTCCCTTAAGCTACTCTCCACACAGCAGCTAGTGATTCTGTTAAAACGTGAACCATCTTGTGTCACAACTTTTCTGCTAAATTCTCTCTGACCTCATCTCATTGAATAAATGTTTCCTGAGTGCCTTCTCTGTGCCCGGTCCTGTTTCAGGTGTTTGGAATAACCCAGGAGGCAATTCAGAAAATGATTTCTGCACTTACAGAGCCTCTTTTCTCCTGGGAGGAGGCAGATAATAAAATAAAAATAGTAAACAAATGATACAGTCTGTTAGAGGTGCTAAGTGCTATGGGCCATCAGAGGAAGAGCAAGGTAAGGCGAATTCAGCATTGGGAGGGGAGGGTGTGAGAGATGTTAGTAAGACAGGGTGAGCAGGGTAGTTCTTGCTGAGAAGACTGTAGAAGAGATGAAGGAAGATGTGTGGGGAACAGTGTTTCAGGAAAAGGGAACAGCCAGTGCAAAGGCTTTAAAGCAGGGGGGTGTGCTTGATATGCTCCGAGAACAGGAAGTAAGCCAGTGTGGCTAAAGCAGAATGAGCGTTAGTGAGTGCAGTGGCTGATTAGATTATTTCCTGTCAGTCACACCTTCCTCTTCAGTAAATCCTCCACCACCACCACCACCACCACTGCCATCACCACCACTACCGACAGTAATAACTGAAATAACTGAAATGCTGCTTTGTTATTATCATGATTATTTTACTTAATTCCTTCTTTAAAATGTATATTCCATGAAAGAATGGGATTTATTTTATTCATTACTGTTTTCTAGTGTCTAGAACAGTGTCTGGTACACAGGAGACTAAAAAATACTTGTTGAATAAATGAAAAAGATGTATGAATCCACATCACAGTTCACTCTTCTTAACAGTTAAATAGTAACCAGGCATTGAGAGAACAGGCAGAAAAATTAACCCAAGAGAATTCACAGCAGAACCCTGCTGTAACATTTTCCTAAAAGGCTGCCTAAATATATAATCTGAAATGCCTGTTTTATGATCCTTATACAAATTACACTTCTTAAAGTTTATTAAAACAATAAAATTGATCTAATTTTCTTTTGAATATCTTGTCCCTTCCATCCCAAACATCCTAAGTAAAGGTTTTCTTTTGAAGTAAAATGGTGGTATTGATAATCTTTACTTTCACTAAGAGTCTAACATAGGTCTTGTTTTTCCAGAAGTTTTAAGGTTTGACATATTTGGTTTCAAGTAAGTCTCTGCATTCTGAAATATCTTACTTCTTCCCATTGCCTTGAAAACCCATATCTTTCCATTAAATAAGCCAAACATCCCTAATGGATAATTTAGAGAACATTTTCCTCATTTTACCTAATTTATAACTTTCTTAAGTAATTCTTCACCATTTGTGGTTTATTTTCGGTATTATTGACACTAAATTTCATGATTATCAATGAAAGGTGGTTTCCAACAAGATGGAAAATTCACTAAGTAGAATTTAATCCAAAGAAACAGAATTAAAAGTGACATCAATGTAATAAGTCCATAGGATAAAACTCCATTTATAAGCAAGAGCTAAAAGGCAAAATTTCTACATTACAATAGTCAAGCTACTCGTCAAGTTTAACAAGTCTGGGCTAGTTATTCAAAATAATTGCTGATGTCATTATCATGATGAGGCAGACATCAGAAATACCAGATTTAATGACCAGGATAACATTCTTCACTGGAAATTGATTGGATATAATCTGTGCAAGAAACCAAGTGTTCAAAAGAAATGAACTTTTCAGAGTAAATGGGAACTTACACACATGGTCATATACTCCAAAAAAATGTAAGAGATGTACTCAAGAGAGATTCAGACAGAACTTTCAATTGACTGTTTTGGAAAAAATAA